CACAGCTCCGATATAACGGTGCCTCCCTAAATAGTAGGGAGTATGGCAATGGCTATTGGCAAACAATGCCTACATAGTTCCACGTCGTATAGGCCCCAATATAACGGCTATATTTGGAATTTATAAAATTTTAACAGAATGTTTTAAGATAAGATTTTGAAAATTTCCAAATTCGTTCCAAATGGTGAAGGGTATTCAAAGTTCGGATTTTTAACTTGTTCTAGGCTGATTTCGGTCGTATGTGCAAAAATCCCGTCCATTTGGGCGGATATTTACAACTTGGTCTTCTATAATCCCTAAATCGGATGAAACATATGTATGGGAACTATATCTGAATCGAATTTCAATAAATATGAATTACTTATTACTGGACTGCATTTGATCGGATGAGCCGAAATATATACAATTTGAACGAAAATTTGAAATAAAATTCAAATCGGATGAAAATGGGAGTAACATAAAAATCTGAACTTAGATTCAATAAAATTACCAAACATACTTCTGGACTGAACTTGGCAGTGAGTGCTTAAATTCATTCGATTTAGGCTGATGTTATGAAATTGGCGACACTATATACGGGAGCTATATCCAAATCTGATTCTATTAACACCAATTTCAATAGGGTTCGTTCTTGGGCCAAACAAATGATTTGTGAAAAATTACAATAAACAAGTAGAAAGCAGTTGAGTTCGACTGGGCCGAACTTTGAATACCCTCCGCCATTTGTAAATTAACACTTTGTTATCCTATTACGAACTTAAAATACGAAATTTCAAAAAATATATTATTAAGGATGTGGTTAAATTATCAGGGTACTAAATATCTGGAGTTTCTCCTGTATGAGGCTATACCTAAAGATGGATCTGTTAAGACAATTTTCTGTCATAGGAAGTGGCATCCATTACGAATTACACATCACGTTTAAAATAATTCATTTGAAAAGTTTGGCTAAAATGATCGTCATATATGGACCATAGGTAATATATACAGCAATATTTTTCAACCACATTCATTCCCTAAATATGCGTCCTAGACCCCATAAGGTATATATACTCATGATCAGTACAAAATTAACGATGTCGAGTCGATTTAACGATGTTCGTCCCTCTGTCTGTTGAAATCACGATACTGCCCACATTATTTGACGTAGAGTTTCAAATTTTGGCACAACAATTTTTAATGTGTCTAGGATGTAAATATAACGTTACCTCCCTATATTCGGTATTTTGATGATTTTCGCCACATTTTTTCATGGATTTGTATTAAAAATATTATTTGTATTTCGCAATGGGTTCTAGATCTGGTAACGGAACATTCCAATATCGCACATACTACGGCACCCATCGGTATTCGGTATTTTGGTAATCCTAGTCACATTTACCCACGAAATTGTTTCAAATTCGGTATTTAAATCTCGCAAATAGAAAACAATACTTTTAATATGAAATTGTTTATATAGATTCCTGTTTTTTTTTTATTGTCCTCATATAAAGGCTTCATCCACTTTATGGTTTTTATTATTCATTATCTTAAAGGTCTTACTGGTATTTGTAGTTTAAAGTGTTCTTTGAATCCAGATACTTCTCTATAAAAGTGTTTTATTTATCCAATGATGGGAGGTATTAATGGTTTTGAAAATTATTTAAGAGTCACAATTTTTTAAAGGACTTCCTGACAAAATTCGCATATTTTTTCAAAAAAAAAAAAAATAATAATAAGGGTTTCATGCAAAAAACATGAGTCTACATTTATTGACAAAATGATGGTTTTTGTGAGTTTTTTTTCTTTCTTTGTAACAAACTCAAATCGACCATCAGTAGTTTCACTTTACAGCATTAACTTAGCTTACTTCTCACAGTTTCACACCAAATAATAATCTTAAAATTAAAAAAACAACTTTATGAAAGAATGCGCTTCTTTTCACTGTCCTTCATCAGCCATTTTTCCATAGAAAAATGAATAGAACATTCCGACGAAAAGTAATTATTGGGGATGTCGAACTCGGAGAATCTTGATTAAAAAACAGGTCTACTGGATTTTTCGGGAAAATACCAAATGGATCAGGATTGCAGCATATTTTCAGAAAGAATTAAATAGATTATTTCAATTAAAACTAACCCCAATTACTGCTTCAATGAAAAATGGGAAAATTCCAAAACCCCCAAAAAAATCCCTGGATCGCCATCCCTAGTAATGGTGGTAAGAATAAAATTTTCATATGCAAAATAACGTCAAGGCAAATGGCATAAGAAAATATATCTGCTGGGTCGATATCAATCAGCGTTTGTCTGTTGAAAATGATTCGTGGTGGTTGCGTCAATTTCAGTAACCAATAGAAATGGCCATTTATATTCACGCGACACCATTACTTGCACAAAACTAAATTCAAATCGAAACGCATTTGTATGGAATTGTGGTGAGCATTGGCTAAGCATGCTTATGAGAAATACATATTTTCCACTTAATTGAATTGTTCTGTTTTTAATTGATGACGTAAAAGGGAAATGCGAGATTCAATAACTGTGGGTGGGAGGAGAAGAGACATATTTACTTTTCCAAAGTCGTAGCCACTACTTATAAATTCTATTTTTAACAAATGCATGCAACATAATTGGTAGTAGAACCAGTAAGGAAAGACAGAAAGGCTTTATGATACCCAACACCACTATGAATATTAACTAGAGTCCGGTTTTTATTTGGTTCATCTTAACCGATTTATACAAAATTGGTAAAATCTTAAAGCTTATTGAAGTACCTATTTATTTTCAAGCGTATGATGGTGCTATTTTAACAGGCAAGGTAATTTTTTTTTACCAAATGATAGTCCATACTCTTACCTTTGTAAAATATAAAAATTATGATATTGCGATTTTCTTCACAATAATGTGTCTTTAGATTTGCTCTTCTGGAGAATGTTAAATACCGGCTACGCGTTTCGTAGTTTTTCTAAAATTGTTTATTCTGTCTGAAGTAGCCGACCTTCTGCCGGGGCTTGAAATTTTCTCCTCTGGCTATGCGAACCGTAGTTGTCCTAAACTTATACGTTTTGTTGGCAGCCGGTCTTCGTCCGGGCCTTTAGTTTTCTCTTCTGGCATATGTCCACCACCGGGCACGATACCCATAGTTTTTCTGGTATATGGCCAACACTGAATTCGAAACAAAGAAACTAAACAAAAGCCTGGATCCATTAAAAAACTTGGTTTTAGTCAAAACTATTTCCATAGGTGACAAATTTAAAGCTAATATCTTGAGACCTACAAAAGATATCTACACATGTGGCACCATTTTTGAACGACAAAAGTGTAGTGTAATGTGATGAATAAATCTTATTTCTCCATAATGGGACATTTTCGAAAATACAACCTATTTATACCCTCCATATATCAACTTTGTCATTGCATTTGTTACTCCTCGAAATACTCATGTCAGACACAACAAATTATATATATATTCTTGATTAGCATAAAATTCTAAGTCGATTTAGCAATGTCCGTCTGCCTCTTGTAATCACTTTATCTTTCAAACGAATTGAGATATTGCACACATGCGTATTTTGTCAGTGGGCAAGTTAAATTCGTCATGTCGGTCCACGTTTTCGTATAGCCTTAACTCTAGTTTAGTAGAAACTCTTCAATTTTCTTTTCTTTTTTTCAATTAAATATTTTTCTGGACCCAGAAAAGATATTCGCACAAATTGTAGCATTTTGGAAAGGTAAGAGTGTCAGCTTTAATTTGGCATTAATGAGCCCCTTTTCGACTTTTTGTGGCTTTAAAAAAAACCGGGTCCAAAAAATCGGTATTTTGAATATAACTATTGAATCGCTTATAAATAACCCCATCATGTAACCACTTGTTGGATAGGTACTTTCATAAATTTTCCTATAGCGGGCTATTATTATTTGTCTATATCGGGTAAGTGGATTGGAGCCAGCCCGGTTCTTGGACCCGGACTTTCTGGTGAAATATATGGGGTCCCGGGTCCGTTCCTAAGAAAACAATAGTTTCTCGGAATGAGGGTAAAATACATACCTCTGGAAAAAATCAAAAAAAAATCAAAGAGTTTTTACTAAACTAGAGTTTTTCCAGGCTCCATATAACGGTACCCCTCAATATTCGGTATTTCATTGATTTTAGCGACATTACAGGCCGGAATTTGAATTTCGCTTGATTGGATACTTCCACCTATAACACAAAATTGTCTATTCTGGTCCACGTTCTCGTATACTCGGTCCTTTTCGGTATAATGCAGGTCCTCGTCTTCGCATCCGGGCCCGGCCTGGCCGAACTTTTTTTGAAGAACAAAAGTGTATATTATCGATAAATCTGTATCGATTTTTGCAAAATTTGACATACGCGATTCTAGGCGAAATTTGGCCAAAATTCATCCCATGTTACACATTCGGCGAACTTGAAATCATCAAAATTCCGAACCTTAGGAAATACCGTTATATGTGCGCTATACGAAAACATGAACCAAAATGGCCCTTTTACGAACTTTACCTGCCTACTGGCAAAATACACACGTGTGCTAGATTTTTATTGTGTGATTACAACATTTAAGATAGCGTGATTACAACAGACAGACGAACATCGCTAAATCGACTTAGAATTTTACGTTGATCCAGAATATACATTCATTGTAGGGTCTATCAAGTTATTTCAAGAAGTAGAACTATAGAATGGTGGAGGGTATAAAAGTTTCCCCACCCCTGTTGATCCGAGATTGTCGGTAAGAGAGAGAGAGAAAGATAGAAGGTACAAATTACAAATGTTTAATATAAATCAGCAGCTTAATTCATGTGGTTTAAAAATTCTAATATGAACAATTGTATTTGTGAAAATAGCATATAGTTCTTCGAATACAGTTGTATGTGTACATATTATTTTACACATACTTTAAAATTGATTTTGATATATAATAAGTATACCTTAACAAATAGATTAACTTTACATTTTTTATAAGATTTTTAATAATATGCAAATATTCTTAATATTTTCAGATACCTCTAAAGGACCACAAATGAAATGATTTTTTCTCCCCACAATCTTGCAATAAAATACCCGTGTTATACCTATGAGAAAACTCCAATTTAACTACAAAAATAAACAGCAAAAACAACAACAAAAATCCTAATCAAAATGTTTAAAACATCAAAAAAATACAAAACTGTATGTATGTACAAAATTAAATTTAAGTAAATAAATAAAATAAAGGAATACCAACAAAAACAACAACATCAACCAAAGAAACTATAGTGCTGTAAATATTTATAAATAACAATAATCAATAATTAGTCGTAAGTGTTTTTTGGAAACCAAATAGATAAACTAGTTTGAAATAAGTTGGACAACAACAACAACAAATGCTACAAACTTAATTATACCATACTTAAAATGTGTTAATGCTCATGTTAATAATAGCAATAAGGCTATACATACAAACATACATATATTCATAGGAACTTACCTTACACATACAAACAAACAGACGATTAATCAAAATGTGAGTGTGTGTTAACGAAAACTGTTCATCTTTATTGTTAAATTGAGAAATACGACTAAACATAAAAAAACTTTTGAAAATCTATAAAAAAAAAACGTGTAACTCAAATGAGTAAATTTATTATTAATTGTTAAATTAGGTTAGTTAAATAATAATTAGATAAATAATTAAGGACTTTCAACTTGATTGAAAGGCATATCTCTTATGACTTTCTTAAGTTGATGTATAATTTATTTTTTTTTTTAAACGTACGACTTTTATTTTTGAAGATAAGTGAAAAAATATTTGCATTACGTAATTTTTTTGCATGGAACAAAACACTTTCCGATAGGGGCAGATCGAATGAACTATTTCAACCTATTTTACTGAACTAGACTCAGTGATCGAATGATGACGAATCTAGCCCTCCACTATCTGTGACAAATGGTGCCGCAGAAGTGTGAGTTTTATGATAAGAAAAATTGAAAAAAACCGAAACTTTAATGCTCTGTTTCGGAGCCTGCAAGAATCTACTATTTTTGCAATTTGTTTTTCGATACTGTAAAGGGAAAAACGTTTATAGTAGTAACCAGTAAGGAAAGCTCAAAAGTCGGGCGGGGCCGACTATATGATACCCTACACCACTATGCATATTTAGTAGAGCTCTCGTAAAAAGGTTTATACAGAGCATTTCAGAGCTCTATGAGATATTTGATACAAAATCAAAATCTATCTAATTCTATCGTGCATTTTACGTACTATAGCTATATCTGAACCGATTTTCACCAAGTTTGATGTATTTGATTCTAGGCTGAATTCGGTCAGATTTGCCAAAACTCAGGACATTTGGGCTGATATTGGACATTTGGTGCGCAATCAACACGAAATTGGATGAAGATATATATAGGAGGTATATCCAAATCTGAACCGATATTTGTAAAACTGAAAAAGAAGATATTTCTTGGCTGCATCTAATACCAAATATTATTCTTGTATCGTACATTTTTCGAATTTGAGGGACTTAAAGTACAAATCGGATGAAAGGTATATATAGGAGCTATAGCTGTATCCGACCGATTTTCACTAAATTTGATGTACCAATATTAGCCATTTGCTGCACATTTAATACGAAATCGGATGAAGATATATTTGGGAGCTATAGCTATATCTGAAACGACTTTTACTAAAATTGGTGTCCTTGCTTCTAGGCTGAATTTGGCCAGATATGCCAAAATTCATGCCATTTCGGTTTATATTGGCGATTTGTTGCACAATTAACTCGAAATCGAATGAAGATACATATGGGTGCTATATCCAAATCTGAACAGATTTTGAGAAAATTAAAAGCGACTACTTTTGAGCTTTATCTGATATCTGGTACCAAATATCATTCCTGTGAAGAGTATGCTATGCTATACTATATCCAAATCTGAACAGATATTTATAAAATCAAAATCGACTATTTTTGGGTTTTATCTGATATCTGGTACCAAATATCATTCCTGTGAAGAGTATATTACGAATGTAAGGGACTTAAAGAGCAAATCGGATGAAACATATATATGGAGCTAGAGCTATATCTTACTAAAATGTGTGCGCTTGCAATTTTTCGGTTTCGGTCGGATTTGCCAAAATTCATGCCATTTGGGCTGATATTGGCCATTTGATGCACAATTAACACGAAATCGGATGAAGATATATATGGGAGGCATATCCAAATCGGAACAGATTTTAATAAAATTAAAATCAACTATTTTTGGGCTTTATCTGATAACTGGTACCAAATATCATTTCTGTGGAGTGCATATTACGAATGTGAGGGATTTAAAGACGAAATCGGATGAAACATATATATGGGAGCTATAGCTATATCTGAACCGATTTTTACTAAAATTGATGTACTTGCTTCTAAGCTGGTTTCGGTCGGATTTGCCAAAATTGATGCTATTACGGCCATTTGGTGGTCAATAACCCGAAATCGGATGAAGATATATATGGGAGCTATATCCAAATCTGAACCGATTTCGATAAAATTTAAAACAGCTATTCCTGTGCTCCATCTAATACCTGGTACCAAATATCACGGTTGTGGAGTGAACATTACGAATGTAAGGGACTAAAACACTAAATCGGATGAAACATATATATGCTTGCTATATCTATATCTGAACCGATTTTCACTAAATTTGATATACTTGCTTCTAGGCTGAATTTGGTCCGATATACTAAAATTCAGTCCATTTGGACTTATATCGGCCATTTGGTGCACAATTAACCCGAAATCGGATGAAGATATATATGGGAGCTATATCCAAATCTGAACCGATTTCGATAAAATTACAAACAGCTATTTCTGGGCTGTACCTTATATCTGGTACCAAATATCACGGTTGTGGAGTGAACATTACGAATGTAAGGGACTAAAACACTAAATCGGATGAAACATATATATGCTTGCTATATCTATATCTGAACCGATTTTCACTAAATTTGATATACTTGCTTCTAGGCCGAACCCGGTTGGGTGTGCCAAAATTCAGGTAATTTGGACTGATAGTGAACATTTGGTGCTCATTTAACCCGAAATCGGATGAAGATATATATGGGAGCTATATCTAAATTTGATCCGATTCTCACCAATTTCAATAGGGTTCGTCCTTGGGCCAAAAAAATATTGTTTGGAAAATTTCATCTCAATCGGATAATAAATGCGACCTGCATTTTGTTCACAAGAATACATGGACAGACGGACGGACGGACGGACGGACGGACGGACGGACAGACGGACGGACATGCATAAATCGACTCAGAAAGTGATTCTATGAAGGTTCTCAAAAGTAACTATGGGTCTATCTCGTTTCCTTCTCCATGTTACAAACAAATGCACAAAGACATAATACCCTTACCACTTTGTGGTGTAGGGTATAAAAATATTAACATTCATCCAGTTCTGGAACAGACCCTAAATCTCTATACAATTATTTTTTATATTTATCGACTACTTTCACCAAACAATTTTAAATTTTTTTCTCCTATGTGGTGTACACACCTGCAAACGATTTCGTAGTGGGATTCTCTAACTCATGTTAGTTACCGACAAATATCTGTACAAATTAACTTGTCCCTGGTCAAAATGTTAAGGGTAATGGGAGCATCAAACAAATTGTAGTGTTTTAGGGTATCACATGGTCGGCCCCGTACGCCTATAGCCTTTGCTTAGGCCGACCATGTGATACCCTAAAACACTACAATATGTTTGAAGCCCCCCACTACCATTAACATTTTGACCAGGGACATTTGCCCAATATTTACGCATTCCCGCGTGCTGTTAGTTGTTGTGACCCATTTAACAGCTAAATATATTCCAATGATGATCCAAAATGCTAGACTTCTTCCCTGTACTTAACTCTCTTCTCATGCATGTTTATTGGTTTAAATTGTGTGATCAGGAATTTTTTTCTGTTTTTGGTTCATGTGCGATCATTTCCAAAAGCAAGAAGCCCCTCTGTATCTCCAAATTTAAACTCATCTGTATGATTTCATTGTCTACGATATTTGGCTACATTCGTCAACGAAATCAGCATAAACAAGTAAGCAAAGGCTATAGTCTCGCGGGGCCGACCATGTGATACCCTACAACACTACAATATGTTAGAAGCCCCCCAGTTTGGAAGTTTTCGCTTTTGAAATGATGTCATGGAGCACTGCCCAGATATTACCCTTAGCAGTTTGACCAGGGACACTTTCTCAATATTTATGCACTCCGTCGTGCTGTTAGTTGTTGTGGGCCATTTTACAGCTAAATATAATCCAATGGTCATCCAAATCCTAGAACTCTTCTTAGTACTTAACTCTCTTCTCAAGCGTGTCGATTGGTTTAAATTGTGTAATCAGGATTTTTTTGCTGTTTTTTTTCATTTGAATCCCTAAATATTTTTCGATCCTCTCCAAAAGCAAAAGGCTCCTCGGTATCTCCAAATTTAGACTAATCTATATGATATTTTGGCTATATTCGTCAACGAAATCAGCAAAAAAAAGCCAAAATCGCCATTTGTGTATTTCGGACATCGTCTATCTACCCGCTGTCCTAAACTCTAACTTCATGCGAGATTTCGTGACCTTTGGTTTCTATTTGTGACCTTTATAACGGCTGCAAAATCAGAAAAAGAATTTAGTTGTTGGTCCATTTAAACCCTAAATATATTGCGGGCATCTTTGAAAACAATAGGCCTAGCCATTCTGAGCCTAAAACTACCCTTATGACAATTTTCGTGAGGATCGGACGATAACTGCAATCTGTATATAATAACCCCAACCTGTGTTGTAAGGTGAAAAAATATTACAAAATGTACACTTGAATATCATAAGTCAAAAAAATCGCATGCGATAAAAAATATAAAAAAATTGAAAAAAATGTCACAAAATGCTACAAAATCTATATTAACATCATTATTGGTATCTTTTTATGCGATTTTTTTAGATTTCATACTTTTATGCCAAGAGGGCATTCTGAATTGACAAAATTCTATACTATCGGTATCTACGTAACGGTCAGAATTGATCTGTTCGTCTATTTGTGATTTTCGCCGGCATTAATATTCGCGGTTTAATAGAAAATTTGACTTTTATTTAACACAAATGCTATGGTCTATTTCAACCACTAAATGTTACCCGATGACCACCAAAATTGGAAGGCTTCTTCCCAGCCCAAAGCTCTAGCCCCATGCTAACTTTCGCTTCGATTGGTCTATAATTGTG